TCAAGCTTGGATACTATTTTGCTTTTTTGGTGTCCTCATGTACATTGGTGTTCTCAATAATTTGCCTTTGTGCTTTCGATCATTTGCCTTGGTGCAATTTCCCATTCCTTGGTGCTCTTTGGTAAAAAAAATTGAGGAGGTGCGGAAATAGAGGGCGCTGTTGGAGCTACCGCGGAACATTTTGGGAAAAAAAAGATCGACGCGCATGATTAAAATTGACGCGCGCGCTGACCAGAGACCGACTTATTTTTTTTTTGCCTAATGGCTGGAAATTTTTTTTTTAGCATGGCCATTTCTAGTTTTTTTTCTTTTTTTTTTTCTTCTTTATAAAACAAATTGAGCATATTTGAGCATACACATATACCGGTACACATCTAATGCTCAAATTGCCAAAATATGTATACATGTACATGTAAGCTTCATTTAATAAGTTCATTTTTTGAACAAAATTCTTTAACAAGGACTTTACCCTTAATTGTATGGACATACATGTAGCATCGAAACTGCGAATAGTAAAAAAAAATAAAAAAAATAAGTACTAACAGAACTACAATGTAGAGCATCTAATTACTTTAAACAATTTAGAATGTTGAGTACAACTTACAAGTGTACATTTGTAAGTGTGAAATTTATTTTATTGCCATTTTAAACCAAACCACTGCATGTATGTACTGGTACATGTACAATGTAGGCCAATTTTGTCTTCTTTAAAGATGAAAAGGAAAGTTTACTCTAAAAACAAATTTAGCCGGTGTCCTACGGGTAGTATATTGACCTTGTAAAGTGTATTCAGCGGCAGTTGGTCATACATTGTACATGTACATACATGTACGTGTACATGTACTTACATGTCATTTACTTCCTCTCCGAATTAATCAAAATAAATAGTCATTATTTTGGTATCAAAAGATTACATTATATTTCTGCAATGATTTGCGGGCTTTTGCAGCACCGAAAGGTTCAGTTCCTTTCAGCAAGATAAAAAAAAAATTAGGCTAATTAGAAAAAAAAAAAAAAAAAACCAAACATATCCAATAAAACTATAAGAGAAAGCCATGGGAAATATTTGTAATTGATTTACACCTGTCTTTTCCACAAAGCATGACCAAAAAATGATTAGCGAACGTCAGTGCCTGATATTTGATGACAGCCAGTGTTGATGAAGCTTACTTGCGGGATGATAAGTGATGCCAAAATTAATGAATTCGGCTGGGGAAAAAAAATGGCCTAAGCAATTAGAACCTTGTAATGAATGTGCCAGTCTTTCCCCCCAGTGCCGAGTCCGGTCCCTTGGGGGGAAAAGTATAGAGGACTGGGCATGAATATTTCATTCGGTGTTCTTTCTTGTTTGTCAATGCATGGCCCCACACTGAATCCACTGTACAATTTATGTAATGGAGGTTTAGAATTCAGATATTCGCATGTCGTGTTCATCGCCATGGTATTTTATGTATAATTCACAATGTGCTGTTCCATGGGAAGCATAAAGCGCCATTTGAACCATTATAGACGAGTAAATTAATGGTGAGTATTATTCATCATTGTTCACATCCGGAGAATTTTTTATAATAATAATAATGGAAGAAGAAAAAAACAGTTTTTATAGAGCGCTTCGCACAGATGTCCTGAAATGCTTTACACAGACTGAACCAAATTAGGCCAAAAAAAAAATATCATAATAATTCTCCTTCCGTGTTTACATGGCATTTGAAAATAGGGTAGGTAGGGAATTTTTTTTTTTGGCCAATTTTTTTTTTTTGGCCAATTTTGTTTTGTGTACGATCATATGGAGGGATCTGCGTGTAGTTAAGGGTAAAAAGGTAGAAATAGATGGTTTTGGGAGGTCTTTTATCATTTTTCACCAAAAAAAATTAGGGTAGGGGCTGTCAGAATAGGGTAGGCCTTATCAAAGTATTATTAACAGTAGAAGGTGTTTTTTAAACAAATAAGTCTTGTTGGTATTTGTTGCATGTATTAAAAATAAAACTTTTGGTAATTGAAGTACATTTGTATAGTAAATTCCCTTTTCAACCATTCTCAGATAAATTAATTCAATCATTCTTCATTTAAGAAGAAATACATGTAAACAACAAATAAAAAAATACGGGTATAAGGCCAAAAAAAAAAATATTCGGTCTCTGGTCAGACCAAAGTTCCGGAATTGACGCGGCCACGCGGCTTTTTTTTTTTTTTTTTTTGCTTTTTTTTTTTTTCTTCAAGCTTCGATTGTACAGACAAGGTGGGTACTATTTTGCTTTTTTGGTGTCCTCATGTACATTGGTGTCCTCCATAATTTGCCTTGGTGCTTTCGATCATTTGCCTTGGTGCAATTTCCCATTCCTTGATGCTCTTTGGTAAAAAGAAATTGAGGAGGTGCGGAAATAGAGGGCGCTGTTGGAGCTACCGCGGAACATTTTGGGAAAAAAAAAGATCGACGCGCATGCTTAAAATTGACGCGCGCGCTGACCAGAGACCGACTTTTTTTTTTTTTTGGCCTAACTATGCCCTAACTTTTGTGCACACTTAAATGAGGAAATTTTCACACACATTGCATTTTTCAACATACATGTATTTCAGAACGTTTTGTGTAGTTGAATAGTCTGTGTATGGTACCAGTAGCTTGAAAATGCAATTAAAGTGTTGAACCTGTAATGGGCATTGATTCTATTTCTGTTGACCAATTGACATGTTTTTACAGCACTACAAATGCTAGTACCGGTACATGTACATACATGTACATGTATGAATATTATCTTGTGTTTACATATACCATGGTTGGACCATGGAGGAAGAAAACTGCATACAAAAGAAAGTTAACATTAAATTTGTTTACAGCAAACCGTCCTCGTGACAAATGGTTACTTCCCTTGAAATAACCTGTGGCCGAGAGCACAGTGTGAGCTCGGACTTAAAGGGAAGATACAACATTTGCAAATATCAAAAAACGAAATGATCAAATTATCGCATATTACCGCAATAAATTGTAAGGGATTGACAGTCTAAAGCATCCTGTAAAATGGTGGCTCCTGGTGTGCTGACATTTTCAAGAAAAACTGTATTTTTCCAACGCTGGTCGGCCGACCAGCATTGGAAAAAACTGGCCTTTTTTCAAAAACTGCTTCTAATTTTTCATATTTAGTTATTCCACATTTTCTTAACAATTGATTACACACCTGTGAAGGGGTACAAGCCTGCTTGAGTGATTCTTTGGCCTTAACAATTCCCCAAAGTCTTTACATTTCTCCGTTTCATCTTAAGTGGGGTCAGGGCACCAGACTACAAGAACATGATTGGTTTTCTTGGTTTTCCAGCAAATACAAGCCCAAAACGTGAAACAAGTCAGTTTAACAATATTTGCTATAACATACATGTACTAATCCTCCAAATCCATTTATTTCTGAAAATTGCAGCAAAAGCAAACGTTGTACACGTACATTCACTTTAATGCAGAATTCCCTGAAATACCCAGAAATGAATCTAAAAGCAATTAACATCAGACGCCTTGGGGGGGGGGGGGGGGTTGGAGAGTGCAGACGGTAATTGTTTCTCCTCATTCCCCCTGTCAGATTTAATAAGAGAATCGTTCAGCTGTGGAATCATAAAAAGCCACTAAAGTTTCATATTTCTAGGTCTGCTATCCAGAGTGCATGTACACGCAGATTACCTGGGCTGAAAGGCTCGTGACAAGTTTCAATTCCGAAAAAAAAAGAGATCAGTTTCCTACTTGTGTTCGGACTATTAGAAATTGGACGGTTGAATCCTGTGTCAATTAAATCCAGTCAAATGTACCTCATGTTTGTATGTACACACGTACACATACATTTTCAATTCATTGTTCCTTGCTCTACATACGTGTACATGTACCGGTAGGTACTTTAATACATGTGTTCATGTACATGCACAATGTACATGTACAATGTACATGTATGTACATGTACATGTACATGTAGGTACATGTACATACATGTGCATGTATTTGTACATGTTCACGGTCTAACTCTTGATGATCTGTGAATATGTACATGTACAATGTACATGTAGGTACTCTAATACATGTAGGTACTCTAATACATGTGTACATGTACATGCACAATGTACATGTACAATGTACATGCATGTACATGTACATGTAGGTACATGTACATGTATTTTAACATGTTCACGGTCTTACTCTTGATGATCTGTGAATATGTACATGTACATGTACCGGTAGTACCCCTGTACATGTACATGTACATGTGCATTTCACCTTTGGATTAAGGTACAAGTGAATTTACAGGTAGTGAATGCACTTGTACAGGTTGTTGCTTTGAACTCTGTCGAGGGGCGTTTTTTTTTTTTTAGACTTGCCACCAGTCAGTCTGTGACCTGGTAAACACCAGGAAATGATGCACTTATCGTTCCTTTTCCCAATATTGTACACTGTATGCTGTTGTACAAATGTACATGACTCTCACTTAGAAGTATGGAAACCAATTTGATATTTTGAATAGAATTTATATTACATACATGTACTGGTATGTACAGGTCTGAATGAATTTGAAACGAATCTGCAATAATCCTCTGTCTCAAACTATAGATACATTTGTAATTTTTAAATAATAATAAATAAGTGCATTATAATAATTATAATACAACTTCTGACTAGCACCCCTTGAACAGAGACATTGACAAAACGGGGAACCACAAACAAGGCTGGGACAGCTCAGTTGGTACAATGTACCATACCGTAGTTTGCCGGAACGGCAATCTGGAGGTCTTGGGTTCAAACACCACTCCAGTCAATTTCTTTGTTCAACTTAACCCTAATCATTCGCAATTCAACAAGATTCTGCATATCAAATGAACCCTTTAGGGTTAGGGTTAATATTAAACTAAAGATAAAATCTAAAAAGTACGTGTATAAAAGGAATTAAGACGGTACAATTTTGAATTAACCATGTCATCAACTTGATCTTTGACGGTCTTCTTTCTTCCTTGTGCTTTTTCCGTCCTCACAGTTTTTGAAGTCCCAGTCGACTCAGGTCCTTTACAGCAGCATCCAGACATCCTGGGCATACTAAGGGATGTCAGGCGGTCCGGCAGGACGGCGAGAGGGGCGGACGAAACCTCGCAAGACGACAGAACGTGTCTTTATAGAAGAGGTATGGCAGAAAAAATGTTTGCAAAATTTTGTGTCACTGTTAAGGGAACGTCTTAAAAGTCGGAATGCTTGGAACGTTCCATCTAGGAATATTGCCTGTTCCATGCGTTGTTCCCATTGGGTACATCCCGAGAATGCCAGGTAATCCCGCGTGGAAACGTCGGTTTATGCACATGCACGCTTACAATGTACTAAGGAACGGCCTGTTTCAGTTGGGAACACGCTTGGAACACAGCGCGTACGGAACGGCAACGTTCCGGGTTTTAAAACGTTCCTTAACTTTAAACAAAATAAAATAATGTTCATGAAAATTAGTTGTTTTTTTTTCTCTCTCTATTTTTTTGGAGTCTCTCTGAAAAAAAGGATTTTGATTTTCGGTTAGAAAGGTGTTAGGTGTTGGTTAGGTGGTTGGAATCAGTCAACTCTGTGAGAAATAAATGAATGTTGGACTGCTGAAACCGGTATTTCAAAATTTGTAAAATATTTATTCTATAAAATGTGCATGTAGGCAGATTTGTTGGGGGTTGGTGTCTCATTCAAAAGGATATTAAATGTACATGTATGTGCATGAAGAATGTGGATATATTATGAACGGGATACATGTTCATTGTAAAAATGTATGTAAAATACATGTACATGTACATGTATGGGGCTTTCTACAGTACATGCACACGTATATTAAATGAAAAGCGAAAGTAAATTACATAAGATGGCCTTCGGATTCATTTTGTGGGATCCAGCCACATCTCCTGTAGTAGTGCCAAACGTGACGCACACCATACAAAAAAAATTCAACTATTTTTTTAAAAACTAAAATCAACTTTCGTTTTATGATTGCTTCAGAATTTATGTGGGCCAATTACAATGACAATGAGGCAATGGAGACATGGCACAATAGCCGTAATCCCAGTCCTTTTCAACCTGCTATGTAAACTACCCGAGACGGAAAATTTTGGGGGGATTTACCGTACTTTAGGTGTCATAGCAATGTGGCAATAAATGTTTGGGTTTTTTTTCTTCAAAAGGACCCCCCTGGAATGCAGTTTGAATGCTTTGTGTGCCTGTGTGGTCATGCGGAACGTTTTGGGTCGAACAGCATGAAGTACCGAAGGCTGGTTACACAAAAGCCTGTTTTTAATTCAATTTCTCAGATCATGTGGAGATTGTAGGAAAACTACACGTTTGGTTCTGTCCTTTTTTTGACGGGCCCATTCTTTTTTTCCCACTCCCAGGCATTCTTTCCATTCATATGCAGTGCATGTACTTACAGTGCAAATGGCGCGAGCTCGAACACTTTGCTCTTGCTTTCTTAAAAAAACAAGCGCGAGCGCACAATAAGCTCTGGCCAGGTTCTGGAATGTCTCACTTCAAATGCAAAATCGCGCATGCGCATCGATCGAGACAAAGGGGTGTGTTCCAAAAATTTTCACCTACATGTACCAGAGTGCATTTTCTGACGGCATTGCATTTGGGAAACTTATGGAAAACTTAGAGCCCTGTTTTTGGTCGATTTTTTGAGGACAGACCGACCGACCCACCAACCACGAACTGACATTTAGAAGCGCCTGCCAGAGAGTTAAAAACAGTTTTTTTTTCGTGAGCTTTTTCTGATTCTTAGAACTGCATGCCTTCTTTCCAATCATGACCAGAACATGGACATATTTGTACATGTACTAGTCCTAGTTGTCAGCAGCAACTTTTGTCTCATGGATTTTCTTTATTTACAAACTAAATTCTGAAATTGGAATCAAAGTTTTTGTTATGAAATGTCCATTCGGCACATGATGAAATATTTTGTAGTTTTGGTAATAATTAAACATAAAAAAATTGTCTTGTTCTCAACATTTTGCTTTCCATCTTTACCGTCCGAATGGTTTAATTTCGAATTTGAAACAAATTCTCTAAAACAAAATCTGTAAGTTTTACATTTCTTTCCTAATGTTGATGATCATTTTTTTATTGGGACTCAACATGGAGTGTAACATTCCCAGTAGAATGAGACACTGTGTGGCACGGTTTGCCTTTGCAAAGACACAAGTGGGGTCTCACAGTCGATATGGGAAACTGAGATGTGCTCAGCGTTCTGTCTATACGTGACGTCCATACAAGGGCCGGCTACAACCCTTATTATGTTGGCTTTCTCAGGGTGTGAAACTGACGCGGGAAAGCAAACATGACGTATGTATTGCGCTAGCACTACCCTTGGTGTACTGTACGAGTGTACGGTATGTATCGATATGCCTATACATCTATACACTATATATGCGACCAATTTGTGTTGTTGCACATGTACGCGTACTTCTTACAGTTTGTCTTCATGTGCCTTTACACTGAAATTTTGCTGAATTTTGCTCATTGAAGGCTACAAGCAAGCTTAGTTCTATCGCGACAAGGGAGTAAGGGTCAATTTTTTCATTTATTTGGCAGTCCTGTTTACAACAAAATGTTAAAGGTACACAGGTGACACAACCTTTGCTTTTGCTGCGATTTTCAGAAATGGATGGATTTGGGGGATAGTATTTTATAGCAAATATTGTTAGACACTGTCCTGTTTAAAGTTTTGTGTTCGTAGATGCTGGAAAAAACCAAGGAAAAAAAGCTGTTGTAGTCTGGTTCTGTGACCCTACTTCAGACGCAACGTAGCCATTTATAGACGTAGGAGAGTTGTCAGGTCAGGGAACAAGACTAGCTGGCTCGGGCTCATTCTAGGATGTGTAAAATGTGGACTAACTAAATTTGTTGGCAGTATTTGAAAAAAAGCCAGTTTTTGAAAAAAGCCAGTTTTTTTCCAACAATGACTGGCCGACCCTCATTGGAAATTGGTACAAAAATTCGACTTTTCTTGAAAATGATCGCACACCAGGTGCCATGATTTCGCAGGATGCTTAAGACTTTTTTCACTTACATACAGTACATGTAGGCCTATACGGTCAAGTAAGGTATTTCATAATAATTTGGCAGATTGTAAACAAACCCCCTCCCTCCCCCAAAAAAACCTTTCCAAAACAAAAAAATGCTTGCTTGCATTGCAATCTTTTGTGTTGGTGATTAATTAAAAATGTCTATAAACAACTGGACCATATTATGTATTGAAGTCTTGTGATGTACTCTCCAAAATTGTGTACATTACACTGTAACGGTACTTCCTCAAATCCCGAGTGTTGACAGTTTCTGATTTGCGGGCGCCACTTGCGCACGTACGCATGCATACTCTGCATTGGTATGTGCACAAGCAGCCAAAGAAATTTTGGTTTTCGTCTTGGGAGGCAAAATTTCCCAAATTGTCCACGCATCCAGGACTGAGCCGATTAGTTTTGTTTTGCAGGGCGCTCCTGTTTGCACAATGAATGGTGGCGCCACGTACATGTAAATATACCATCTGCAAGGAGTTTTTTTAGGCCATCGCCCAGGGCTACACTGTACACGGTGCCCGGGGAACCCTGAATCAGCGGCTGTTGGCTTTCACAAAATTACCTGATTCTTCAGTTTCTTCCTATTTACATTCCCAACTAGGAATTGTGACAGCTCTCAGCATCGCACTCATTTCCCCTGGAACAGGCAATTACGACTTAATCAGGAACTTGTTAAATACTTAAGCTTTTTTATTTTCTTCATAAATTGAGGCGTACACAAGTTTGTTTCCGAGCCTGCAGAAGCGTTATTGACATGCGGCAACTGAAATGTAAACTTTGTGTACACCAAAATGTTAGTGTAAAAAGAAATAGAATTTTTTTTTTTCAATCTTGACAGATCTGTTGTCACTGAAAGTAATTTCAAAACCAAGGCTTGTAATAACACAACTCAAACCCGTTTTATCTGATGGCAGCTCCAAACTGGATTTCAAGGCTTCTTTGACAGTCCGGCGTGCATTTGAAATAGATAGCTGTCGTGAACGGAGATTGTTGTTTGGGTGCAGAGGGAAAAGTCAGATTCGTAGTGTCGTGACACTTCCAAGAATTGATTACCGGGGGGGCTGGAAAAGTAATTGAAAAAGTCATTTTGCTGAAGCCAACGGCTTTGTGTCTGATTTATCGGTTTATTGCTCTGGTTGTTCCAGAAAGCAGACCTACATGTACATGTACTATACATGTAAGTGTTAAGGAACATTCATGAACTGAAGAATGAAATGCTAAAATGGAACATGAATTCTTTGTGTAGATAAACTTGTAAGGTGATTATCTGGCATACATGCGTATCAGACTACAAATTTTTCTGCAACAGCTGTGCCCGCAACAGCTCAAAATAGATTGTGCTAGTGGATTTTGTCGGAATAAATGTCCGAGTCTAAATTCACACTGGATATGCTGGAGATAAGATTTACATGACATATACCAAGTTTCATGAGTTTTTCTTATTTGTGTTGGACTCCAAAGCACTTTTTTGTTATCGTGGTTGGTTTTTAGTTTCGCATCTGCGAAGGCCCCACTTATATGTAGCTCAAAATACGAATGTTGCAAGTGAGAACGCAATACAGACTCGGTGATATCAACTTCAAACACTATCCAACTCGAGCGATACATTGTACTTTGACAGTGTCAAAAAAGCCCGAGGCTTTTTTTTATATCAAAGAGTTTCCTCGCACCCAGTAGGTTGTCAAAAATCTGACAACATCCCAAGCGGTTGCGGCCACTTATGCACAGTACATGTGTAGCCTGTAGTAGGATTCTTATGGGGTTCTTACATCGTACATGTACATGTAAAATGTACGTGTATAAGTTGTACCGTACTTTGGCAATTCCACAGATATAAACCTCAATGCCAAAATTTCATAATGGTTTGATTGCCACAAATGAAACATGTCATTTTATTGAAATTCAGTTTATTTCTATCAGTGTTCAATAATTCAGCTGTTGCTTTGCAACTGAAAAATTAATTTGTGGGTAGATGAAAAAAAATCAATTTTGTCTGAGTACCGTACATGTACCCAGTACATCTGACACATGGTGTTTGAAATTTCAAGCTAGCGATTTGTACTAAAAATAACAATGAACATGAGCAAGA